CAGCGTCAATTCACGTTTCAAGCGCACTTTGATCAACCTTGTATGAATGTGGAGGTGCTTCTTCAATGCGGGCAGCAAGTGTTGAATGATCTGGTTAGGGCTACAAACAAGCCAATTTTGCTATATATCAGATAACCCCCAGTAAATGTATAAATGACGTGCTTTATAACATTGCCTTTGCACTCCATGTATATATTAACTTTAAGGATTGGAACGTCAGCACTTTGCCTCTCAGGATTATACAGGCAGATATTTGTCCCAAGCAGGGAGTCGTACAAAGCTATAGCAAACTAGCCAGGAATAGGAAGAAAAAAAAGGGAAGAAGTGATATATTACCCAATATGCACTGTGAAACCATATCCTTCATACATCCCGCCCCGGAATATTGAATCTAGTCCTAGATTGAATGTCCGAGAACAATACCAACTCTACTTCACAAAATTGGCTGACGAGGCTAATTAATGGTGCCCGAGGAACTTGTGTGTGAATCATCTATCGGCTTCATGATTAGAATTAATGCGAGCGTTGAATGTATGTGGAACTATGTACAAGTCTGGGGCCTTGAGATTATCATTTGTAACCCGAACTCTCATTCTTTTTCTGCAGTTCATCCCAGCCAACCTGGCTTGTATGAACAGCTTACAATGTTGAAGAAAACTCATCCTTGATTGCCATAAATCAAAGTCCACTTTAAACAGGCAAACATCCATGACTTGACCATGGAATCGGTCTCTCTATTCTAGTAGCATCAGCAAGAGCTACACATCAAGGGGCGCTCCTGGCACAACATACATAGGAGTCGTGGACAGCCCGCCTCATAATTTCGTCTTTGCTTCTATCATACGTCTAGAAGATGGCGATAGGAATGACCTAGATAACTCGACTCCCCGTCCTACGGACATGACACAGTGACGATACGCTTGAGCTGCATCGTTTCATATCTCTACGTCATTCCTTTATTTAGAATCTAAGTTTGGCATATTGAAATTAGTGTGCAGCTTGGGCAGCCGTCACTAGACCAAGTTCGGATTCCATGATAAACGAGGAATTCTGAGCTGTAGACTGGTGGAATGAAACATTCGGCTTGAATATGGCTTTGGCTTGCTCGATCATATCCTGTGAAGGGTCACTAGCCATTGGCCTTGACAAGAGTTAATGAAGGCGAAACTAAAACGGCGAGACTCAAAGCCCCAAAACCCCGGTCTTTACATCTACCCGGTCCACTCTTTTACGAAGATATTCATCAACATATTTATTTCTTAACAGTCTATTGATGGTTGCTTGATCATGAATCCTTAAATTGATGATGACTATCTCGGCTATCTTAGCTGCCGGAATCCCCTATCAACATATCAACATTCTTCATTGATAATAGCATCACTACCGCTGGTCACAAAAGCACTATCGTCTTGATCATATTGAATGTATAAAGATGCTCAGACCCTTCAGTAATCCCGGATGCCTTGTGCCTCAGAGGCATATCATAGCTTTATCAAAGTGAGAACAGCAAACGGTACTCTAGACAGATTCTAGTCATGATGAAATGCTATCTACTTAAGGCTAACGTTGCCCTGTGGCACAAATGGTAGCATAGCTGAAAGATAAAATGGGGTTGCCCCTTTCTCGCATGACTTAGCATGACCTTGCGTCTGGTAAGTCATATAAACATGTCCACCCATCGAGGGTCTGCTACTAAATTTGTTTAGGCGACAACCGCAAATATAATGAGTATGCCAATCCTCAATAACGGCTTAATCTAGTTGAGGATAGAAATGGTAAACATTTGCCATACAAAGGTGGATGAAAGAGACAAGGATGGTATAATTAGCGCACCTTTATGTTACGACCGGTTCTGTGGAACAACGATTCTTCTAAGTGGGCAATTATGGCCTCCTATGCTCGTATGATTGCTACGGATACGGAGGTTCCTCTCAGTATAATCCCATCAGGTCGATGCAGAGATTATTGATTTGGACGAGCCACTCAACTTGGATCCTGATGATGATAATGAATGGCCGGATATTGAGTAGGTGCGTACATATTTCATTAGTTTGATTTGCATTATTATAAGACATCATCATCAGCACCAGCACCTGCCCCCCCCCCCCCCCCCAGCCCGAAGGCATCGCCTCGGCTGGCTTCATGACCTGATTTACGAATTGGCATTCTGAGCTGTTCTGATCATCTCGGAAATTGGGATACTAAAGGGCCTCATTGATCAATGCAAGAGGTTGACATTTAATTACCAATAGAGCAGTCATTCCGCTAAAGCAAAGTCCAGAATGCTGTTGAGTCTACGGTCTATCCATGGCGAATACGATGTCGCAGCTGCCTGAAGAACATATGCTTTTATAAGTAACAGCTGCTTGCTGAGCATCGTCGAGATATAGGGCAAGCCGATCCCCTGTGATTCTACTTACCCTGTTCCATGTTAGCATATCCGCTCGCCCCATCAATGATGCGTTTGAAGGTATCGTGAATTCACTGGGATATAATTTTGAGAGGGGTCCATTCCTCGATAAAGACGAGATCACTGCCGGCCCTGACTATGACTACTCAATGTGGCCCCTTACTGAGCTGAAGTCGAGGACCGCCCACACCTATATAAGTAGCCTAGTTCTTACAGAATGACAACAATCTCATTCTTTAACCAAAACCCACGTTTCGGTCTAGGATATCGAAGGTCTACCACAGAGCCGAAGTCGCAATCATATACCGACATGTCCAGACCACAACGGATCCCCATACCGAGGGCGGACTCATAGGAGTCTAACTGTCAATATGATAATAATGCATGACAACCCATTTTAAATCACGGTATCGGGCATGAGTGATATCATGGGAGTCACAATGGAAAGCGTTCACCCCAACGCCTGACGCTCCTGAGCCCTATCCAATCACTATCACGACTGGAATGTTACTGAATATTGAAGGCACGGGATTCCCTAGAGGGATAGCTTCTGTATTTGGTAACTTCATACCGGTGAATTGCCCCAACAAGGCATTCATAAAAACCGTGAGCACAAGGCATTTAGACGAATACATCGACCATAACGGGAAACCGATCGCGCTGAAAGACATCCTAATCATGACTACCCCAACACTAACACCGTGTTAGAGCAGGACAGGGTAGCAAGAGTAGCCCTCATTAGAACTCATAATAGCTTCAAGGATTAAGGAATGGTCTCTCGCCATACTGCCATATTATTGGCCAGTCAGCGCCCTACTGTACAGCCAAAGGAAGCAAAAAGGCTGAGCGCACAACGTGTGACAATTCTGCAGTCCCAGGTGCGATATCGCCACATCACTGAGCTAAATATGGCCGCTGAATATTCCCTCGTCCTGTGGTTTGCACCATCTGCCACTTATGTAAGGAAACGGGTTGTTGGACATGGCAAATACAAATCATTAACCTTTAATTGCTGTGGAAAGCGGATGGAGCGAATCTTAGCCGCACTGGCGCGCTGATAAAGACCTACACACTGTGATTGATTATATACATTTCCTGCATTTTCGTCCAATAATGACTTGATAGGGCTCCGCAAGGCATGCTGGGAAATGCCTTCGGCTTTTCGCGTGTACTTTAGTGGGCAAGAGACGCTATTTTGAAAGCTACTATCAACAGGGAGGAGGACCCTGATGTCAACCAGAATACTCGTGAGTTTGTTGCTAGACAGCGATAGTCCTCGCTTGTGGGTTTGACACTGGAGCAGGCTCGGCGTGGGGATTTGGTTAAACTGCCACAACGGCAGAAAAGAAGGTGGTATGTATTGAACAGCCTATACCGGGTGACGCTACAGTATACCTTGCCGCTTGTGCATGGACAAATCGACCACTGAACGGGTACATTGGAGGCCATATCCATTGGACTTTCGCTAGCGGTAGGTAGACTACGTGCCTATTTGATTCTGCACAGAGAATAGAAGGGACCTGCTCGGTAAAGCTTCATGCTTCATCGACAACAGGAGGAGGTCAAGAATCGGTTTCCAACATTAATAGTATATCTAGAGATTTGGGAGCTGAGAGACGGATAATTTGCTTTGAGAGAGCCACGCATTGTGAGTCTTTTCATTAATAAATGTACGTTGAAACTAATTATGTCTTTAGAATATTCTTCCATCCTCTACCAATCCGCGAAACCTTATATTTAGAATCACAAATTTAATTGCTAAAGGTCCCTCGGGCCTTGATTCCTAACTTCAATGCGGCAGGGACTTTAACCATAGATATGGGACTCTGTTATACCCAGCTGAATATTGCGAGAACAGAGACAGTGTTCAACAGAGCAATAGATGTGATTCGACCGCTGGACAAGAATAGAGACAACCCTGGGTATCTGCTGCCACCAACCTGTTGATCCTTATGCTTTACTTGTAATGACATGGCCTTTCATTACAACGAAGAGGATGAAGAACAGGGCCTAAACTTCCGACGATCAACTACAGGAGAAGATTGCCTTTAGGGAGCAGGAGACTCGAAAAACGGGTTCTTTCACTATCTGTGCCTATGCTTCAATATATACTGTTCCTTGCAATAAAACACAAAGACGGGGTTTCTAGTGTATTATGACAATGTCAAGCCCGTTACAGGGATGCCGGGTAGAAGGGGATCTCGATCATGCCAGCCGCGAAAGTTGAAACGGGTTCGTCACAAGGTGTAGTCGAGAATGGCTCCAAGCCCATGAGAGATGGAGTTACATCAAGTGTGAATATAAAGGCAGTTTCAGTGAAAGTGCCTACACACAGAACACCTCTTACGGCTCTTGGCCAATCGCAATTTGGCTCCAATCCCCTCGTACTGTTGGGAAGCCTGGATAAGGCTGATGCAGGGGAGGAGGTTTCAGCCGCAGGCAAGCGAACAAGGGCTAGCCAGCTACGAATGAGGTTGAAAGGATAAAGGCAGGGATGATGGAATAGAGGCCGCCGAGGGAAATGATGCCAATTGGGCAGTCAGAGAGAAGGGCCCTACTGTGATAGAGATGTACAGGACTCTAGGAAAATAGCAACTGCGCTGGTTGTAATTGACTGGGAGAATCCCTAGCGAGATGTGTTTCTGTAAGGGCTCTCACTAGTTGAATGTACAAGTCCGTGTTGCTATAGCCTTATCATGTAGAACATTCTATCTCTCCATAACCTGGTCCGAGGATGTCCAAGTGGCTAGAAAAGAGCATGTACACACACGCAGCATAGCGTCTCAAGAACAGGGCACGACACCAGCCGATCCAGGGAAGTCGCAATATACGCCGGAATTGCTCTGGGCACAAACCAACCCAGCAGGACATGGCTGCATCACCCACCTCTCATTGTCGCAAATACCGAACTGATTTCCATTGCAAGAAAATACTCCACTAGTCGGACATTCTTCCCCATCAATCGGACACACAGTTGAGGTGGGTGCTACGGATGGCTTACTGGATGTCGGACTAGCTGTGGAGGATTTCGTGGTGGTCAACGTGGTACTTGTAGATATAGTCTTTGTCGTAGGGGTAGTTGAGGTCGTCTTTGATGTCGTAGTCGAGCTTGTCGTCGAAGTTGGAGGAGCTCCACCACCCAAGGCTGACCTGAGTCCTGAGAGAAAGCCGCTATTGGCGTAAACCTGACTCGCATCCCATACCATGACTCCTCCAAAACTGCTGAACTGTTTCACGTAGTTGATGATCTCGGTAACGGTTGATATAGGCTGGTACCCAGTCCCTGCTGCACCCTTGTTTCCAGGAACACCGAGAAAGACTTTGGCGTTTTTGTTTAGAGAGGTTTCACGAGCCCATCTGTCCCAGACATCGAAGTTGAAGTTATATTGTGCTGCGCTACCGGGGACAAATGCCTGAAGTCCGCAATAGTTGTTGTAGAACTGAATCCATATCGCATCGAAGTACACAGCGCCATTGAGCATAGGACCATCCGCGGCGTCTGGGTAGGGACACTGCGGTGCTGCTGTGGTGTAGTATTTCTTTGAGGTATCGCTTCCGTAATATGATCGCAATTGGTTAGCAAAGGCCGGCATGTTGTTGACAGTTGCCTCGAAGTCGAGGTCGAAGCCGTCAACTACTGCGTCTCCGAACGGTCGTTTCACAGAGGAATTAGAAACAGGCCCGAATGTCTCCCAGATCATCTTGGCACCGGCAGCTGCGGCTGCTTCGCTGGAAAAGCCTCCTTCGTTGTAAGTGGCTCCTCCGATCGAAAGGAGGATCGTCCGTCCGAGCGACTGGCATTCCTTGATGTCCTCACTGATAACATAGTCGAGTTAGCGTATCTATTATATACGATTTCGAGCGTACTCACGCAATTTGGGGACAATCTAAAAGTTGAGTCCCTGAAAACGTGGTGCAGTTATCGCCAGCGTTTGCGAAATTGACTTCGGGGACACCACCGGCCCCATTGATCCTAGTCAGGAAGGAGATCTGGTATACCTATCTGTGCTGTTAGTGAATCCTTGAGCAGTTTGGGTCTATTCGATATAATACATCTATGCCCGTAGCTGGACATCACATGGGTCGAATCGTTAGCTATTGCATGCTTACGTGGTGTAGAGTCAGCCTTACTCCTGCAGTAATACGACAGACGCTGTTGAACATATGGACCGGTAGACTGTCCATAGGAATTCTGGCCTGAGAGATCCTATCAGCTATGGCGCAGGCTACGTGCTTGGCGCCGATATTTACCCCAGTAAGCAGCAATGTTGTTATTACTGTTCAAGTTCAACGCGGCCAGCGCGCCTTTGAAAGAAGCCAGAGCAAGCGTGAAGAGTGCAACAGTCTTTGAATAAGGCATGGTGGGGTATCATGAAACGCAATAGCTAACCGGCTTAAAAGACCTGGCGTTGAGGTTGAGTACAGCTCTACATGTAGGAATGTTGGTCCTTATTATACATCTTGCGGTAAGGCTTTTAATGAGCAAACAGATGGTTGAATTAGATTAACTGCGCACATTGCGAGTCATCTGCGTTTGTCATGGGTATTTTGGACCAGCCTTTGAGAGTTGTGCACACGCATTCCTTGGCTTCATTCTTTGATCTCAATAGTCGGAGACATTGGTGAGACGACAATGGATTTCGGTGGAATGCTACGTTCGCATCTCACTGGGAATAAGAACGCTAAAAAGGTCGAAAGAACGAAGATAGTCGTTTGCACGCGACGTGTTTCAAACGGAATTACAGGGCGGCGCCGTTATGGTGTGCACTACGAAGTGTTAGCGATGGAGTACAAAGTTGCTTGGCTAGTGTATGTCGAAGGCATGACAAACGGGCTCTGCATCATGGAAGGCAACTAATAATCGGGATTGAAATCCCCGGTGGTTGCCATGTTGTAGCGGCTAAGCATTCTTCTCCGTCAGGTGAGAAGCCCTAAGAGATTGTCATGCAGGTGATCTGATCACCTCTTTGGGCGGTATGATCTTGAGAACCTTGTTCTAAATTTCGGGATATAATGCCCAGTGCCCCTGCATGATATTCCATGTAGGATAAGGAGGGTTTCACGAGAAGGCTACATGGACGAAGAGCCATTCGAGAATGGTTAAATCAATGCAACTCTGCCGGGTAACCACATGCCGGCACTGGGAAATGAAGCAAACTCGCTTACTCGTTGAAAGGCCTCATGACGGCCCCGTCTAGACTCTCATGTCACATTCTTCGGTGCCCCCCCGCTACTCCGCGGCTTGACAAGGGGTATTAACCCTGCCAATGGCCTGTCAATAATTGATGGAAATGGGTCAGGGACATCTGCCACTTGGAAGATAAGCTACCATGAAACTGTTTCATCCCTTGTGGCCGTCGCTCTGGTGGTTCTGTCTTATGCACCTTCCACGTGCGATATTACCTCTTCCAAGGCCTTCACAACTTCATTTGTCAGCCCTGCGATCTTGTACAAGGAACAATCAATGCGAGCTCCCCCTTCTGCCAGTTTGAAACACTTCATGGTACCCATGTCCTCGATCTCATTTCCCCTCGACGCCCTGGAATGCGAAGGATCTAAGACACAACAGCCTCTCGCCCTTTCCCCAAAATATAGCGTTCCCTTCACTCTGATTTACATTATTTAAATACCTTAGCTATTCCGTAGGTATGTTTACAGGTCGTTGTCGGCGCCGAGCTTCGCCCAGACGGCTGCGGCCATTCCTACATAATGACTGGTCCACCGTGGCTCCATTCTTTGTTTCCTATAATTTAGGATGTTATTATGTATGTTTTGGCCACAAGGTACATGAACCTCGAGACCATCTCTATGGTATCTAAATTATAGGTCGCTTCATCGGGACTAACAATTGGTTTCTGTGTTCCTTAACGCGTCATGAGACCCAGTAGACCAACACTGTAGATCGTCGCTAATTATTAGTTTCCTATAGAGGTATCTGTACTAGTACTTGTGTTCACTGCCTCCATCTACCAATTTAATAAATGTTACTGTCACAGATACCTCGCTCAGTTCCTAACAAAGAAGACTATTGGGGATATCAGTACCTAATCGTTGTAGACAATGTGGGGGTAGCATCAGACATAGCGTAAACTCCCTATCTAAGAATTTACATGTAGAAATTTGATACTATTCAGTAGGTCATATGAGGGAGAATGTAACTATATCCACATTTGAACACTACGTTTAGGAGGTTACTGACTACTTTGGCCTCTAGGCAATAGAGTATCCTGATCAAATTGACTACTTTTGTTACCCTGATACGCTGTCGTGGTCTAATGATGAACATATATATCCAACACGTCACGATGGAAATCAGTGTAGTTGCTTTACTGCTCATAGAGGTGCGCATGGTCAGTGTAACGTTTTGTCTTAGTGGTGTGCATTCTGTACGTCTGACCAAGTGAGCACCCAGTCACATCATGTTAACAACCTGCCATCTACACAAAATGAAGGCTAAGTTATACTCAGTTAAGGATTGTCGGTACACAGTAAAGAACGGGATGATGTCAACCCCGTACATTGTTGACGAGGAGGCTGAGCACAAATGACAAACGTCGAGCTCTGTTGGGAATACTATCTTAACATCTGACAGCATGATATATGAACAATACCTAACCTACGGAATTCCATTCCGGAGATTGAGTCCAGTCCAGTCCAAACAGGGTGGAACATATATATGTGCTGACGGATGGTTTGTGTATATCCTAGTACGAGGCTGGATAACCCACACTATTTCTTTTCCTTCGAGTAGGACCATACATTATATGTACTGTTGAGCAGTTCCTCTTTGGTTCGACATACTATGCTCACCGGGGGCATTCTGTACAATGTCAAAGTATAGGCAGCTAATTTCGCAAGTGTAGGTGTAGCAGTTCTCGATGCAAGCTAACATGGCGTATTCCGGACGGGTACCGATTCTTCATCTTTCCTGTGTGGAGACTAGGGTGTTTAATTTAGAATATCGACATTTTAGTCCATTAGAGACATGCAATTTCAATATACTAAGGTCAAGACATGTTGTCAATCTATGTAGTAACCATACGTAAACGTGACGACAAGGTATTAAATGAATGCAATGATTGACCAGCCACTCTCCCCAAGAAAAGCTAACGATTTCTACTGTGATGGCAAACCTACTAGTACCTTTACTTATGGTTTAGCCTGGGGGACAGTGTGAGAGTGCGGGACATGCGCGGTACAATAGCGGAAAGGTTGGTACTGCTACCTGATGAAGTTTGGGCAAACAAACTCTTGGTAAGTCAACTGCGGATTACCGCGTGATCCCAATTCTACAAGACTTAAGGGAACAAAAAGAGACCCCACACATCATGTGGGCTTGATAATGGCATTTAGCAAAATGTACACAATGGTGCTAAACATTAATTCTCGAGCCACCGACCCATTGATATACATACACTATGTACACTTGAGTCTAGGATGAGTTGCACACTCGGCTTGGCTTTCGTCGTGAGTGGTCCTCTTAAATATCGGCATTAGGGTTACATCGGCCCAGATTGACTGGTTGACTGGCCAGACCGTTATCACGGCCAACAAGTTACTTTTGGTGTCCCAAGAAGGCCCACTATGAGGTCACCATCTTTATTAGCGATACGAAGCCGATCACTGCGAACAAACAATTCAATGGCCCCTCCTGCTTGGACGTTTGAGCTTTTCGCTGCGAATAATATCCATGCACGTGGTGCCGATAGCGGTTGAGGAGGGGGAATTGCATTATAGGACGGATTAATATGTCGCCACGTCAGGGTCTGCATAATGCAGCTAATTTGCTAATCATTTATCAGCGATTGCACAATGAAATAGCAGTTGTGTCGGGATTTATCCTCTCGTACGTGCTGTACCCGATTGATAGTATTTCCACAACCGATATATTAATTGACACCTTCTCGCCAATTATTATATTCTCATGGAAGCAAGAATCTCTACAACAGGATTTGTCTAACCAAAACACTACAAAAGTACAAATTATCCTAGGGTACTAAAAAGGTAGTCCATCCCCTCGACCAATCAATCCTCTCCCTTTTCAATCCGACAGACTTGGTTTATTCTCGGCGCAGAACCACCACTTGACAGATCATCTTCAACCGTTGTAGGTTCAACAAGTTAAAATTCTCGTAATGAAGTGGCGCAATTCCTAAACTTCGAACACGACCGACAAAGTCCCGATTTCCCGGCTGCGGTGAGCTGCATCATAGTAGAGGACCGTGCACGCAGAACAATTGTTTGTTAACTGCTTATCATGGAATAGCTGTTTCGCTTCACCTCCACTGTTGTGGGCTCGTATCGTCCAATTGAATTCATTACCAAGAGCCAAGCTTATCGGAACCATTTGCCGAGGTTTCCAATTGGAGTTGTCTACAGTCTCCAGCTGGAAATAACAGCTTGTCTGTTTCTGGCGTCGGGGCATTCCGCTCTGGTATGTAGGGGGTCGATGAAGATGAGGGTCCTAGGGCCAAGCCCTGGGGGTGGGCATCCCGCATGAATACCATGGATTAGTGGAAGTATAGCTTCTGGGATGAAATCATTACGTCCTAAATAACTGACAGCTTCTGATTTTGACAATGTCTGCTTTGATGGCCGAATTCAGAAGAAAATGGCATTTATCAAAGATACAATGACCAGCCACCCGTGCCCTAGATTCATAGGGGAGGCTATATCCTCACATTCCAGTGTCATCCCTAGAATTATTCCCTAATCATAGCGTGCCCCACCACTCTGCAGTATGAGGTGATGATGATCCTCTCCATCTCCGTTATTGGTAGCTACGCCATACCCACCGGATCGGAAATTTTTCTTACCCAGACAGATCGAAGTCGTTGGTAATACCGGTCTTAGTGTCAAGAGAGTTAAGCCCTAGGCTGGGACGTTCTGGACTGTTTCCGGAACCTTGTCAAGTAGACTCTATGATTGGTGTATTACTATTTCCACTTGCGGAAGGTTGAGCTGCCCCGCTCCAGCTCATATCCTGACGTTTCGTAGTATATAAGAATAGATTGCGTTACTCGGACCGACCGATTGAAAATCCTCACAAAAACAATATATATAAGCAATGTCCCACTTGAAGAAATTCGAACGCAAGGTCGAGCGCAAAGTTGAGAACCTTGAACACAGACTTTCGCACGACGCCCACCAACACCAGAAGGGCAACCCCACCGGCAAAATGCAGGACCAACCCGGCCCCAAGATCAAGAATGTGGTGAAGAAGCAGATTGAGAACCGACCCGATGAGTGGAAGATCGAGCAGGGTATCAATGCTGCCAAGCTGCCGTTCCTGGACCAGAGTGGTCCGGAGACCGTCTTTATCCAGCCCAAAATATGGGATGGTAAGATGACCAAAGACGAGGCGGCCATCAAGGCGGTTGGCAACCCTGAGAAGTTGTTTCCCCGTGAACTTGAGGGATGGAAAGGGTAATTACTACCCTTCAAATTGTTTATTTATATACAACACACGAACTAATCATTCTCAGATATGTCGAGTGGGAGGAATACCCCGAGAGAAAGAAGGCCGCGCACAAGATCCTCACCTCGCAGGCCTTCCCTCCCAACCCCGAGTACCAGATGGGCCCCATCCCTGACACCAACCCTGTGCTGCCCGGAACTCACTGGAAGCAGTGGCATCATGCTGTTGGTGGTGAGCTTACGGACGTGCCAGAAGACTCTTGGAAGACTGTCCTAGAGGAGAAGCACCCGGAAATGCTTCATCTTCTGCAATTCCCTTACAACGGCGAGCCTCCTAAGCGTCTCACTACCGCCCAGCCAGTTACACCCAACCCGCTTCACTTCGTTCGGAATCACGGCGGTATCCCCTTGATCGACAAGGATAAGTTCTTCTTGAAGCTGGATGGTCTTGTCAAGAACCCCAAGACATATACCATGGATGATCTGATGGATGAATCGAAGTTCCCTCGTATGAAGAAGATGATTACCATGCAGTGTTCTGGAACCCGTCGTATCGAGCAGATCGCCCTCTACGCTGGTCAGGGTGATGAAGTCCCTCAGGCCCCTTGGGCGGAAGGTGCCATCGGAACAGCTGAATACGTCGGTATCAGCTTGAAGAAGGTCATCAAGGACTGTGGTGGTCTTCTTGAGGGTGGAAAGCACCTTGAACTGTACGGTGCCGAGACCTACTTCAAGAATAACGAAGCGATGAATTATGTTGTCAGTGTGCCCTGGTCCAAGGTCAAGGCCAACGAAGTGATGCTTGCCTGGGAGATGAACGGGGAACCCCTCCCTAAGATCCACGGATACCCTCTGAGAGTGATGGTCATGGGATACATTGGTGCTCGCAGTGTTAAGTGGCTGTATCGGATCAAAGCCATCGAAACTCCCAGTCTAGCACCGGTTCAGAGCAAGGAATACCTCTACTTCAACCAGCAAGTTGGCAAGCACAACCAGCGCCCTACAGATGGTATCCAGATCCAGGAGATGCCGGTCAGCTCTGCAATCATGTCCCCATGGAAGAACCAAGTCGTCATCCACAACGGAAAGATCCGTTGCAAGGGCTGGGCCTATTCCGGCGGTGGCAGATGGCCAGAGCGCGTGGAACTTTCGTCCGATGGTGGTTTCAGCTGGTACCCGGTTCCTCTGGAAAACATGTCCGAGAAGGGCCAATGGACCTGGCGTACCTGGGAGATCGAGCTGCCCTGCGACGTGGAAGGATGGATTGAAATTGTGTGTCGCTGTTGGGACAACGCTCTGAACACACAGCCCTTGAATGTCCGTGCTGCATGGAACTGGGGTCTGCATGTCACTAGCTCCGCGCACAGAATCTCCATCTACAGTATCAACAAGACCAGACCCTTGACTGCGGAGCGTTTGGAGATGCTCAAGGCTCATGGCCAGCCTCTTGCCCCCATCACATGGCCCGAAGAGCTCCAGACCCAGTCGTGGGATGATTATAGGAACTTCTTCAAGAAGTACCCGAGAGATGCGGATAATGAAGAAGTTTTTTAAATACGCTGCATCCAAAATTGGCAACTGTGTTAGCAGCTTCCATATTATGATTTTTATTACGAAGTATCGTGGTTGGGGGGACGGTTAATCCTGCGTTGTGGTATAGCTAGCAAGTATATGCTAAATTGATGAATATTGAATTGTTATTTCATATTATCGTGACACGTCACCAAGAATTGCACAGTACCATCTGTTCTAGTCATTCTCTCCATGGTTATGTTGTTAAACCAGAAGAATACGCAATGGGCACGACAAAGTGTCCGCACTATAGAAGGCTCATAGGCAGTGTTTCAGTGCGACTTCTACATTAACATGTATGCTAATCGATAGACATGACTTTTTCTCTTAAAGACCAATAGCTAATAACAGGCCGTAGTCACGATGCGAAAGCAGTAATTCGGCTAACAATCATTTAAATAAATACCCAACGATACATCGCTTCATCGACTTCATAACATATCCCTCATAAAGACGTACACTCAGAGAGCCTGTTTCTGCATAACCCTCACCCACATTTATAAACAATGACCTGTCACCCTACAAAATACCAAATCTCACAACCCAAACCATCTGCCATGATTAACACAATTAACTATGCTCAACAAATTTAGTTTCAGTAGCATCAGACGAGATACTCCCGGCAGCCTTTCTTCTCTTGGCAATGGTAAAGCCACCGAGCAAGAAGAACGCCGCCTCCAAGCCCAGAATAACTGCAAGGGTAACCATAGCCCCAATAACACCGGCAACGGGTCTAGAGACCTCGTTACTCTTCTTCTCGGTTGATTCAGCACCGGCAGAGTCAGAAGAAGGGTTAGCACACTTTCCATCGCTGTTACCGCACGCGCTGCACCATTCGGCCGTAGACATGACGGCGATGCTCTTGGTCTGCTTCTCGAATTCCGACCAAGGGATGGTGGCGCTCGACTGGCCATAGAGAGCGAACTCGGTGGGCTCATCGGAGCCGGTGATGGTACCGTTGTGGAAGACAAAGCGGACGGAGATGTCGGCTGGGTCGGGGAATCCGCTTGTGGAGTCGGTGATCAGCTCCCATGCCATTGAAGAGGCGTAGTCAGGGATACCGCTGAAGTCGGAGTCAGCCTTAGGGAGCTGGGCAAGACCGAAATAGGAGAGGAAAGTTCCATAGGAGCCGAATTGGATGTTCAGCTTGGATTTGCCCTGAGTGCTAATCGTCTCGGTCAGAGCGTCGAGCATCTCGCCGGCGAGCTGGGCACCAGCAATTGCGCGGACTGTCTCACTCGAATTGTAGGCTAGGTTGTACTGCTCGATATTGGCCAGGGTCAGTAGCTGGTGGAATTGGGCGTCTGTGGGCATGTTCTCGGTGCTGGAATTGTGAATCCTTGCGACATTGAGGAAGTCGTAGATGGCATAAGCGTTCTTGAAGCTGATGTCATCGTCGGAGAACTCGCTCTTCAGAATGGGCGTGAGTGATGTGTAGAAATCTTGAGTGGACGCTAGAAGATCCTTGTACAGTGACGAGCTGTAGTAGCTGTTGCTGCTGACCTTAGCCTTCTGGCACTTGGTGGTGTCCTGAAGCCATGTGTTGTCTTCGCTGTTTGTTCCGGTGGTGGTGAGCGAGAGTGGGATCAGCTGGTAGCCATTTAATGGTGCGTCAACCGTAGACCCGTTGGCCAATTGCTGGCTTGCAGTTGCTCCGACTGGAGGGTAAACACCCTGCAGGAAGCCGGTTGCCGAGTTCTGCAGCACAGCGTCAGATGGTGCGGCTGCACTGAGCTGCTTGAGATTGACGACATCTGTGCTGATGCCTTCAATTTGAAGGGAAGAGTTCGAATCGATGTACCGGTTGTGATAGTAGCTGCCGGTCATGAACACCTCATTATATCCCAGGTCCGTAAGCTGGGTGTTGCCCAGTATTTTAGGGGTACGATCTCCATGACGGGCAAAGATGTAGGCACCCAGAACTCTCTCCGCAGACGCTAAGTGAGCCTGGGGCATGGCCAGCATGGCCAGCACGAGGTAGTCTCGCGATGAAGTACGCATTTTGCAGAAAGAATGTCAATCCTGGAAATAATTGATCCCTAACTCGTTCTCTAAGTCATGGGAAAAAGGTGTTCATTATATATTTGCCAGGGTTACTGCACGCGGGACGCTACTGTTACTACGAAGACCCTGAAGGAGTACCCCGCACCTATACGGGCATATTAACGACCCCGTCCGTGGAGCAATATGTCACTAGCCATATGGCCGAAGACTATTTTGCCCTTGTACACCAGTAGCAGTTCTAGACGTTATACCTGGTGCATAACAGAAATTGTTGCCAAGCCTAGACTCCTTGGCAATGTCTCTAGAGAAGGAAGCAGGCGGCGCCTCGCCGGCCACCCGCTCTGTTCCGGGCAATTGGTGAACTCAATGCAAGACTTGGAGCGAAGGTCTAGTATCCCACCTACCGTGGGTTAAACTATGAAAGAAAAGCTTAACTTAATATGACTGGTCGAAATGCCCATATTGACCGTTTTTGGCAACTCTAACTGACCAATAATTCACTCGTGCAGTACACCAAACATCATTGACTACCTAATTGACTTGGCATTTGTGATCTGCTTTATGTTGCAGTTGAAGGCGCACTTGGACCCTTCTAGGTAGGTATAGAGCTAGTAAAATGGACTAGTCACAGGATACGAACGACTTACCCTTATATCAAGGGTCCAGATGCAGTATGGCTCCTCATTAAGCTCGCTGCGGTGCCCATACATATGACGTCGAGGGCAATCTTGCCACCGGCATAATTAGATGCTTGCATATTCACGAATTGCACTCCTTTTTCGATTTTATCCGTTGAGCGAAGATATATCATTAATCTGCACTACTACATCTTTGCCCATATCAATCTCAAGACTGATCAGGTGGTCCACTGCCATACAATGGCATTTTTGGATTGGAGATATAAACAGAATTGCGGACAAACCCACATTTCATTGAGTGACAGCTGAGTTTATTCGTATGACAAGATCAACTGACACTGCTGAGTTTGTACTCTAATCTTAAATGCCCGTCATCCGTAAACAATAGTCATTATTGATGTGAGACTAAATTTCCCTCCCCATCCCAATCTTTATTTGCCCTCCATTCCCCGTCTTCCGGTTTGCTACCCACGAACTCCTCCCGTTTCCAGATCTCCGCCTTTGCCTTGCACTCATCCAGGATCTCCTCGCCGGCTCTCCAAGCCGCACGTCTGTGCCCCGAGCTCACAGCAATTAAAATTGACGCCTCCCCGACAGCCACCGTCCCTAGCCGATGGGAGATGCTCACAGCGATAAGCCCATGTTTTTCTTTGCTTTGTCGTGCGATCTCTGTCAGGGTCCTTAATGCCAGTGGTGGGTAGGATGTATAACTGAGTTGAGCGACGGCACGACCGTCGAATGTGTTTCGCGTTGTCCCTAGGAAGAACACATTTGCGCCTGCTGCGGGGGAATTGGTGTAGGATAATGCTGTATCTGCACTGAGGGGATCGTATGTCAATTCGATGTGAATTCTCTCGTCTGGTAGGGAGACTGTGCGTGGAAATGTAGACCGGTCAAGGTGAGCGGGGGTTGAGTCTTTGGTTTCGGAAGGTACCGAAGCATATGAATCTCTACTTGTTTCTGTTGAGACGCCCATCTTGAGAGTGTAGTAGGAATAGTAGTCTAATGTGGTGAAGATATATATCCAAGTGCAAAAGTCCGTGATGCTATGATTATGGTCTTAACAGCCTGAAGTACACACCTTTGGACCTCGCAGAGCTACCTATCTGTCACAAACCAACCCAGAACTTGGTAAGATAAACCGCCCATGACAGTGGATCTCTTAGCAAAGCTGAAGAGGGGCAATTGTTCGAGATCGTATCTGCCAAGTAGGGTTCGAACTACTAAAAGAGTGGGGCAGCAACACCCCCCCGCCCTAGGCTGTTTTGGGAACAACTAATCGACCAATTATAGAAAATGAGTTGTAATGCAACTAAACTTGACTACGACGAAATTCTTGCACACTAATGCACTCGGAGATGATCGCTTTGAATATTTTTCTTTCAGGCATCGGAGATTTCGCGGTAAAAGGTCGTTTATAATCCGGAAGATGCTGTAACAATTGGACGTCAATGAGGTTGCATTTCGTGCCTTGTTGATCTCCCGTTTCATGGCCTATGCCCTTAAACCAAACAGAGTGATTGTGATAGACGCACGCCGACAGAAGAAAGCTGGATATCAGTGGGGCATCTTGGGCGTTGAACTCTCCACTGCATTAAGACCAAGGAGGCTTTGTAATTATAGAACAGGAAGCATGGGCTGACAAAACAATGTGTAGCCTAGACAATCCGAGATATCCTTGCTATTTCAGTAGAGAATGACTACTTTCTCTTAATAATTCTCCATCATTATCTGAATCTTTGTACTTGACTTCCAGCTATCTACTATATCAACCATGGCAGATAGAGCATTACAACCTGCGATACTAATCGTATCAGACACTGCATCTCAGGATCCATCGACGGACAGGGTTGTCGATGCCCTAACACCCTTATTACTAGCTACAGACCAGAGTCCTTGGAAAACACCGTTTGCCAGTATAGTTCCCGATAATGTACTCGATATACAAACGAGCATATGTAACTGGACAGACGGACAAGACGCCGTTAACCTAGTCCTCCTGAGTGGTGGCACGGGGTTTACGACTCGAGATAATACGCCAGAGGTTAGTTAAATCCCTGATAATGTTCTTATTGCTTCAGATCTGATACTCTGCTACGCAGGCTGTAACTCCTCTTCTTCATCGCCATGCTCCTGGACTTGTGTATGTTTGCGCTCGGAATTTATTTGGCGGTTGTCGCTGACTCGCTGTAACAAGGCATGGAATGCTGGATGCCTCGTTGAAAGTCACGCCATGTATGGTTAAACTTGATTGTTTCTCCTGTTAGAAATAGGACTAATATTGAATGCAGTCGCGATGATGTCTCGACCCGTCGCAGGAGTCCGGAATGGGACAGTGATAGTCACTCTCCCCGGGTCGCCGAAGGGGGCAAAAGAAAACCTCGCAGCCATTGTAAAACTTCTCCCTCATGCCTGCGTCCAAGCAGTCGGTGCAAACTCCAGAGTTCTTCACGCTGGCGGCATGTGGAAATTAGAAGCAGAAGCCGGCGTCTCCTCGGGAAACAACCAAGAAAGCAGCACCGCGGCGGACACCGATAACCATCGACCGCAACTGGGACACAGTGACTGTGGGCATTCCCGCCATTGTGGAAATAAGACAGCAAAGTCAAATGACACGAACGAGGGACCAAGCCGCCGGAATCGCCTATCGCCTTATCCAATGTTGTCAGTGGATGAAGCTCTCTGGCGCATCAGTCACCATACACCTGATCCTGTGGTGGTGGAGGCCCCGATGACACCTGCGCTGGTTGGATCAGTAATCGCTGAGGATGTCTACGCCGCAGAGGCTGTGCCGGCCTATCGAGCTAGTACTGTTGATGGATATGCAGTGATCGCTCCCGACTCAACCGAAAAAGATATAAGTTCGACTAGTAAAGGGACTAAGGGGATCTTTCCTGTCGCCTCCATCGCGCACGCTAATGCCAGTGATACCGCTCCCCCATTGGAACGAGGCACCATTTCGCGCATTACTACCGGTGCACCTCTGCCTCCAAACGCAAATGCGGTGGTTATGGTTGAAGACACCGTTCTGCATTCCTCCACACCAGATGGTACCGAAGAGGCCACGGTGGAGATTTTAACGGATGATATCAAGCCAAACGAGAACGTACGACAGCCCGGTAGCGACATTGAACTGGGTTCGAGGATCCTTCGAAAGGGATATATCGTCACACCCGTTGGAGGTGAAATTGGCCTTCTCGCAGCAACCGGGACAAGCACAGTCAAAATCTATAAAAAGCCTTGTGTTGGTGTCATGAGCACCGGAGATGAATTAGTCCCACACGATGACCCCCGGAGGCTTCACGGTGGCCAAATCCGTGATTCTAATCGGCTTTCCCTCCTTTCTTGTCTCTCGTCTTGGGGCTTTCCAACTGTCGACTTGGGAATCGCTCCTGATACACCTGCAGGAGAGCTCGAAGAGCGGCTACGTAATGCAATCGAGAGGGAGGAAAATAGTATTGATGTGATCATTACGACAGGTGGTGTCTCGATGGGTGAATTAGACCTCCTCAAGCCGACCATCGAGCGTTCCCTTGGGGGCACGGTACATTTTGGCCGAGTCTCCATGAAGCCCGGGAAGCCAACTACCTTTGCCAGCATCCCCGTCAAGCGGTCACGCTCCCAAACAGACGATGCACCAAACACATGGGGAAAGAAACTCATCTTCTCATTACCTGGAAACCCAGCCTCGGCGTTGGTCAGCTTGCACCTGTTCGTGCTACCCTGTCTGCACAAACTTATGGGGATGGGTCAGGGAATACTTTCCTCAGGGTCCGGCCCGACACCAGGACTTCCTGTCGTGACTGTGACCCTGATGCATCAGTTGGCATTGAACCGCGAGCGCACGGAATATCACTGCGCTATTGTCAGGGCATCTCAAGCAGATGGACTATTGTATGCTTGCAGCACGGGGGTTAGTGCTACAGGACAGCGGAGCTCGAGGGTAGGAAATCTTGCGTCAGCGAATGCTCTTTTGGTATTGAAACCTGGACAAGGGTTTATTGAGAAGGGCACGCTGGTGGATGCCTTGATTATGGGTCCCATTCGGTCGGGGGTATAATGATGTCCAGATTATCGATGGGTTTATAAATTCTGTGCAATATTACGGTGCCACAAAGACGATCGCTGCCCCGTTCACCCATTGTTTACTCAGCCCTGAAGAATCTATATTAATACGTACCCTATATTATGCTTGGCGTTATATCAAGATGAAGCCAAGCTCTGGAGGATTGGTTCGCGTCAACCTAAATCGCAGCCACGAACTTGGCAAAATAAATCAACTTCCAAATGAAAGGCACTCAAGCTACCAATACAAGTATCTGTATACATTATGACGAGAAGAAATAATGTTTCTACTATTATTCGCCCACATCATCAGGGTTTGCAGGGTCAAGCCACCTGAAAACTCCAAGCAAGTTCAATACGACGCAGCAATGATTCGCTCCATAGTATTGCCCAAGACGGAAACGGCGCCAAATTAGAACGACTCCACTTAGAACACACACTTAGCAATCTTAGCTGCCTCCTTAGGGTCTGTGCTTTGCAGACTAAAACCATCTTCCTCGGAGGTGCAATCAGAGCCCGCGGAGATAAAACCGGGTGATTTGCTAATACCCAGTGGTTGAATAATGGATTTGCACGTTTCTGCCACTGAGAGATAAGATTATTGTTGATCCCACGCAGCTTTGGTAACAATATCCCCAACGTCAATAAAATAATATAACTTATTTTGCTAACTATTTTAAGAGTAAGAACTTTGAGCTACGAAATAGGAGAGAGAACCCGCGAAGAAATACATTCTGCAACCATGGCCCAAGCTCCGACCGGGACGTTCCAGGTTCATTACTTCGCCAGCGCATCGAGCTATACGAACCGACAATCAGAGTCTCTGCCCGCACCACTTCCGTTGGGTAAATTGTTCGAGGTCTTGGAGTCCAAATACCCTGGGATTGGAGCAAAGGTTTTAACGAGTTGTGGGGTTAGTGTTAATTTGGAATACGTGGATGTGGAGGAGGAGAAAGTGAAGCTCCGCGATATGGAAGCCGCCCAAGATGGGCAAAGCAGGGCCTTGGTAATTATCAAGGACGGTGATGAAGTGGCTATTATTCCTCCTGTTAGTTCGGGGTAGCCTGTACTCGGCTTACTGCAGATATGACAGAAATATGACCGTTTTCTTGCGACAGCAAGCTTCACTTCTTGAATTATATTGCGTGCATATGCAGCACTAGCGACTTTACAACCGAGAGCTATCGTCAATCAGCTCAGTCGACCCTTACATACTCAATCTAGACCAACGTATGCCACAAAATCCATGAGGCATGTATGCAAGAGAGCAAAAGCCGTCCCGGTCTTCGGCCCGAGCGTTGACTCCACCGGCCGGTTATAGTAACCGTAGGCCATTTAATTTTATCTAGCTGAGTGATTGGCAGTTGTCTTATCGGGGTAGCCCGAAAGCTCTTTTTTTTTTTTTTTTTTTTTTTTCCTTTCCTTCCCTCGCAAGAAGGGAAAGGTGTTGCAGGGCAAAACCCCTTCCCATCAACTTAGGTTGTACACCGTATACAACTTTCTTCACTAGCTCACGACAACAATGGTTACAATAGCGACTACACGGCGTACTCATACGGAACAAAACTCGAATGGTTAAATCATGTACTGGCCAGCCAAGGAAGAGCTTAACCGCCACCATGTCTGTGGACCCGACTTCTTGTTGAATTGCTTGATTGCACGGCTTCTTGTCGTCGGTGGGGTTCGTAGCCCTAGTCCGGAGACCGCCCGAGACCAAAGCCTTTAGTAGTTGCAGGTCGGAAATGATTTAAATCTCGATCAGCGTCGTGCTCACCGTACGGCTATTAAATAATCTGGACTGCCTTGAGCTCGGGTCACGGTGTGCAGGAGTTCGTCGGTCATCATTCACCATGACTTACGATCCAGAGAGTGGAATGGCAGACGCCAGGGCCGATGCGCCCGTGGAGACAGGAAAGGAGCATGAGGCAACGCAAACCACTGTCAAAGAGAGTACACTCGTCTATGATAATTCTCCCGACCCCAGCAGACGGGATTCCTATCGCCCCACGAGATTACAAAGTAATTTGACCATCGTCAGCTGTGTGAGTCGGAATATACTTGGCGGGAGATGCATAGAGCGATAGCTGATAATTCATTCAAGTACATCGCCAATTTCAGCGATGGATTCCAAAACAGTCTTGCCAATCCTACCAATGTCATCTTCAAAAAGCTACTAGGCACGAATGGATATCCCTCTGAGATGCAGACGCGTATTAGCAATTCCCTCTTAATCGGTGCTATCTTGGGTGTCCTCGCCCTAGGATACACATCGGACATGTTTTCACGACGAGCCGGGTTACTATTCACCTCTGGCCTCGTCGCGATCGGAACACTGATGTCTACACTTGCCCTCCAAGTACATCCGACGCACAACATGCTCTGGTACTTTGTGATTGTGCGAGGTATCGCTGGTTTCGGCGTTGGCGGCGAGTATCCCCCAAGTGCAGCAGCCGGAATCGAGGAATCAGACGATGTAAGGCAGAGACCAAGTTACCTTCACTTATTTATGGGACTGATCAACTAACAAACAATTGACTAGTTCAAAAGAAAATACCGAGGACCACTATTCGTCTCCTTCACGACGTTAATGGCGACCTCCGCTGCGCCCATCCAGATGATCGTCTACCTCATCTGCCTCATCGCCAGCAATGAAAACCTCCCAGTCACCTTCCACGCCTTATACTCGATTGCCACCATTCTACCAGTAATAATCATGATCCTGCGTTTCTTCATGACCGACTCGACATTATTCCACTACTCAAACTTCAAACACCAGAAACGTCCCCTAAAGTTCTACCTGCTCCTACTGAAACGCTATAAATGGCGTCTCTTCACGACATCCCTCGCCTTCTTCCTTTACGACTTTATCAACTTCCCCAACAGCATCATGTCCAGCACCATCATCAACTCCCTCGTCAAGGACCACAATATCCGCACCACCGCAATCTGGCAGGTCATCCTCGGCGCCCTCCCCGTACCGGGCGTGATCGTAGGCGCCTGGTTAACCAACGCAATCGGACGCCGATACACCGGTATACTAGGATTCGCCGGATACATGATTCTCGGATTCATCATTGGCGGCACATTCCCCCATCTATCAAAGAACATGCCCGCATTCGTGGTTCTGTATGGTCTACTACAAGCCTTAGGTCACATGGGACCTGGTGCCACGATCGGGTTGATCTCAACAGAGTCATTCCCCACCGCGATGCGTGGAATGGGGTACAGTATTGCGACGGCGTTTGGAAGAACTGGTGCTGCGGTTGGGACGCAGTGTTTCACGCCGTTGCAGGAGAGGGCGGGCAAACAGTCGACCTTCTACCTGGCGGGTGGTGTTGCTATTCTTGGGATGATTGTGTATTGGTTTCTGCCGGAGAGTAGTGAGTTGAACTTGGAGGAGGAGGATCGGGAGTTGAGTGAGTTTTTGGCTGAGAATGGCTTTCCGATGGAGAAAGCTTGAGAGGGTTTGTGCCACTGTTTCTCGAGGTATTGGTGTTGATACTAGGGCATGGTGTGGGCTATGGTTCGATGTCTTTTGGGACGGTGGATGTAGTATATCCACCACGTCAACAAGTCCTTCACGGAAATAATGAGTAATATTATACCCGCTAGATTAAAGAGAGAAAGAGAGAGAGAGAGATAGCACTTTATGTTTGTCATATACCTTGATGTAATGAAGACACCATCGTCCTTGCAAACTTTTTAGAAGCTAAACTAAATTGCCAGAGAATATATCCAGTCTCCAAGTGACACACGCGACCCAAGAGACACTATCTAACAGATCAACCTGAGGCTATACCCCCGATATATCCAATAAAGTCTCCAACAACCCATATTCCAACCTCAACTACCACACTACTCCCTCCGGCGCACCCGAATCGTGACATCTAATTGAGGAATAATAGTCTGACCAACAACGGAATTCACCGGTCTCTTATCCAACGGCTCAATATCATAATTCACCAATATATAACCAATAATAAGTTTCATCGCATGAGCCGCAAACCACCGACCAGGGCTACACAAGTCAGCAGACCATCATCCTTCAACAAACAAAGTATCAAGTCAATAGACCAGATAGGATAGACAACTTACCAAGAATGCCGCCCATGACCAAAAGCCAAGAACTTTTCACTTGTCACAGGAACCAACATAGCCTTCGATTCCTGGGTGTCATTATCTATAGAAAGGAACCGGAAAGGCCGATATTCGTCTGGATCCTCATAGGTCTGCTCATCACGATGAACACCAACCGCTGCTACAGCGAGCCAGGTCCCACGAGATAGGAATTGCCCGTCGGGCAGTGTGATGCCTCCTTTTTGGACGACTCGTCGAGAAAGCATGCGATCGGATAGGGGACTCAGGCGGAGACTTTCGCGAATGGTGCTTTCCATGTGAGGCATTGACTGTGAGATGGGTTGGGTTTTATCCCGGTTTGTAAATGCGGCTTCGGCTTCTTGACGGAGGATATTGTAATATCTGCGGTCTGGATCGGAGCTTAGGAGGTCGAGGAAGAAGTTTTCTGTCATTGCTATGAGGACGTCGACGGGGAGGAATACCTGTGGATAAGTGAGCTAAGTGCCATTTTTATGGTATAGTGAGAAATAAATTCCTAGTAGAGGCATTCACTCACAATAAGGGCAAGTCGAACTATCAAAGCGCTGATATGTACTCTCCGCGTCGGGTTCTGGCTCATGGCCAGATCAACCATCCATGTAACCATATCTGCTGGCGGAGTCTCTTTCTTGATTCTGAGGCATTGTATGCGTTCCTTGAATGTCGGATACAGATAAATAATAAGACGTACCCAGTAATAATAGATAGGAAGACCAGCAACAATACCAACAACGGGTTTAAGCGGCCAGGGGACTAATTGAGACACGAAAAGCATCATGGCCCCCGTGACACGCGTAAAGATCTTAACATAGTAGACAAATTTCGGATTTCTGCAAAGCGAGACTCCGATGAAGAGCCGCAGACATATCCCAAATATAATCCTGTCTAAAGCTGCAGTGAGATTAACCTCTTGCCATGCACTGGCGCCAGGATGGCCGAGCACTTCATCGGTGATATATCTCAGTTCATCTAGAAATACATCTTCGGTATTTGCAATATTTCGGGTAAGATCGTTCCGGACGGCTCTGATCAGTTCGAGATGGTCGTAATTGTCGAATGCCGGGGCGAGGAATGGAAGGGCGTGGACATCTTCATTGGCTTTTTCGTGGGACAAGATGGTTTCTGGTTGGCTTAGGAGCCATGGGATTTGTTCTGGTGGTAGCAGGACTTGCGGATAGAAGCTCGGGTTGCAGATTGCGAATGGTTCTGCTTTTTTGGAGAACTAGAGTCAAGCACAAGGATGACACGTTAGCATGTACATTAGAAAACTGCTTAACAAGTGCCATACCTCTCTATAGCCATCCTCACTGGATCTGGACCCACTGTATTCCTTGAGGCTTAACCTAAGAGCAGAGAAAGGGCCACGAGGAATTGATGGCCACCATCGCATAGATGATGGCAACCAGAGATATCCAAACCAAGGACATAGCAGAACGAAAAGCAGCAGACAAAGGGAGGCGACTAGAATCTGCCCTGTTAAGCTGGTTGCCATATCTGCGATCTGCATTCTAACTGTGGACGGATGGGGTTTTCAACCTCGATAGAGCATTTGTGCTATCAACGAATGATGTACAAAGACATGGGCATGCGTTAGATACCTTCCTCGAAGAAAGGATCTGACAACGGAGAGAATAATCTGCCGTATGGCACATTTTGCTATTGAACAGCTAAGGTTGAAGTAAGCTGACACGTTCACCAGAGCCACCGGAAACTAAATTCCAAATGGGGCGCTCAGGAGTACAAAACCAAATTCAAGTGCAATCATATGCTATCCATTACTACGGTAGAGATGAGACCCTGTGGTCTCCCTTGGATCCGGGCTTGGCCAGAAATTATCAAATACGAACCTGCAGTGTAATGATAGGCGTCCAATGACGACAGAGCGTTGGTAATGCACTGATACAATGGCTTAAGCCCAATGCTATGCATCCACCTGGCCGAAAGACAAGGAAAAGTGAATGAGGGACTAACTGATGGGTGAAGGGAGAGGGTGTTCGTATGACTGAAGTCAGCACGAGAACGCGGCTACATTCCACCAGGCCTCCAGATAACCTGCACTCGTTACCAATTCAATTGTACCATGAAATATTACATTTATTGGATTTAAAAGTGTGGGTTAGTGGTATTAAGGCGGCTCAATGCCATACCATAGACAGGCAACTCATGTATATCCTCCCATAGCATCCACAATGATTGGCGACGAGTATACCAGCGTCAGTGCGGGTTTCAAATCGGCCTTAGCAGTATTCTGCGTCGCTGTGTGCTTTCTTCTACTATCTCCGTGGATTGCTTACGCGAGATTGCCAACATCCATGAAATCGCCTATCAAAGTAAAGGGACCGTTATCAGCGCTTCGAGCATGCGTGAATGAGATCACCGCCGGAACGAAAACATCGACAAAGGGATACGACCTGGTGCGTACAGTTAACCTTTCCACGTATGAGAAGGTTTATGCTAACATCATCGGGTGTACAGCATTCCAAAAAGGGACAGTCATTTGCAATGCTGAATATCAACTTTCGCCCTCAGGTTATCCTACCTCCGGAACATGTTCGCTGGCTAGCCACCCAACCAGAGGATATCCTCTCACATGCCAAGGCCAGAGACGATGCTGACGCTCTGGGGTATATCTGGCCACTGTTCGATGTATCAGCTCTGCACTCATTCTCCAAAGTCCTCCAGAATGATCTTACTCGGAACGTCACACAGACAGAGAAGGATATCTTGGAAGAAGTGCAGCACATCATGGATCAGCTTGTCAGCGCGGCCGACACGTGGAAAGAAATGAATATGGTTCAGGCTTTCGAAAGGATCATGTATCAGACGACGCAGCGCGTGTATGTGGGACTTCCTCTGTGCCGAGAAACCACGTATATGAGATACGTGAAAGGATATGCCCGCTCTTTGGGGACTGCCATGGTATTCGCAGCCCAGCTTACACCTTGGCCCCTCAGACAGGCTACAGCCCTGCTCGCAGGTTTGCCGGTTTACTACTATGTCCTTCGGGTCCGATCTTACCTGTCCCCGCTATTCAAGGAACGGATGGAGCGGCGGAAAGCGAACGGGGGGACGAAGGAGGATTTACCAGAAGACGGGCCAGGAAACCTGATTACCTGGATGTCAAATGGCGTGCTTTCCGGGGTTGGGCCGAAGTCGGTCAGCCCCAACGAAATGGTGACATGGCTTGGAATTCTGGTAAGTAGTTCATACGACCTAGTGACATTCTAATCCACACCGTCGTATTCCAAGATCTTAAACTGATTATGTACAGGTTCTGTTACCAACGGATAATCTCTGGACGACATGCACAAATGTACTTCTTGATCTGCTTAGCTTCGCGTCCGATCACGCTTATCTCCATACCATCCGTGAGGAAGCAAAGACGGTATTCGCTTCAAGCAGGAAGTCTGGTAAACCCGTGTCACATGGATTGCATCATATTGATAGCGCAATTCGGGAGAGTCTTAGGATGAATTCGTTATCCCCGAGATCCCTCCATCGCCAGGTTGTACGTCGCAGGGGTGTTGTGCTACCTGACGGACAGAAGGTCCCTGTAGGGACTTGGCTGTGTGTTTTATCCGGGAACATCCAGAGAGACGAAGACTTTTACGATGATGCACAGACCTACAAGCCATTCCGTTTCGTTCCTAAGCTGGCTGAGTCTGGAGGCGACAAGGCACCGTTGTTGCCTTTGACAAATGAGAAGTATCTTACTTTCGGCTATGGTCGACACGCCTGGTAAGTAATTGAAGTGACTCTTCCACTTTGGCTACACTAATCGTGCTTCAGCCCCGGGCGATGGTTTTCATTCCAGATTATGAAGATCGTCATTGCCTACATCCTCCTGAACTATGACATACGGCCGCTGGACAAACGCCCGGACAATATCAAGTTTGCAGATCTCAACATACCCCACCTATCCCACATAATCAAGATCAAGAGGATAGCAGAAAGCCAGTAGTGCAGCACTATTGGATAAGCGGACAGGAATGCGGTGGTTTGCACGAGCAAGCAAGGGGCAAGGCATAGACAACTTCATATAGTTTGGCAACCCAGCTTTCATAACTACAGTGTATCTACTTAGCTTCCGATAGGTTTAGAAAAAAGAGAAATACCAGGGTTTCTCTGTATTGTATGATCATGCACTAGGTAACGCCTCTCAAGAGGCTACAGGTAAAGCCTCCATCACACAGCAGTAGTGATGGTTACAGCGCATATTCGTATCCGTGTAGGCCTACCCTATACAATGTCTCAGGGTCAGCTTTATGATTTCTCGTCTTAGCCCGGGTTCTTAGACTTTCAACCGCTGGGCAATGTAACGGTACTCTCTAGATTCTTTCACGTAATCTATACTTTTTGAGAGAGAACCCTCCGACCAAGATATGCTTGCCCCATGGCCCAACCATGTGAATACAATCACAAGGTCCACTTCATACGTGATCTCTAAACTATGTGCAGTATCTTAAGACCAGAACATTGATATGGCAGTATTTATCACTCAATCACACATGTCGGGTGGTACAATAGTAAGTCGGCTGGCTGGATCTCAATATGATCGGCAGCCGATGTACCACACGGTATCCATGAACCGGAATATGCTAACCGCAATGACTTTCCGATTGAAGCCGGAATAAACAGTCAGTTCTCCAATCGGTCCCGTATTCCAGTTTGTGCGAGAGACAGCCGTAATACAAAGCATTGTAACCATGAGATCTAATGTGTTATGTTCCACAAGGGACCTCACTTGGTAGACAATACCGAGGCCAACGCCTCAGATTATCACCAATGGAAGAACTCAATTCAGTGTGAGTATAGAAAGGACAGGGAAAAGGCGATATAACACTGCCACTAATGCATCCACAATCACAGTAAGGAACACTAACTGCGGATCAATGCTTATTCTGTGGGTCTATGTGAGAGGATGCATGACGGCGGGACCTCCAGCTGTAACATATAGCCTAACGGTGGCCTTAGGTGATGGGAGGATATAGCTCCCTGTAAGACTCGGGGTTCATATCCTCCAATAGGACCACAGAGATGCTATGAATACAAGCGCTTCTGGACCTTTGGCGCTCTCGGTTCCGAGCGATCTGTACGGGTCCTACTAATATTCCGTTCGTATTACATGCAGACGGATGAAAAACTAGCAAATCTGACTATACGTATGCGATAGATCATGGCCATACTACTTCTTGGTTTATCCCGATTAGGTCCCAATATGGACTTAGCATGACGCATTGAATCTTAGAGGCTGAAATCCAACTACTGGTTTTGGTGGGCCTGATCCATAATGACAGGATAGGCCAAATGAAACTGGGCTTACAGTATACCGATATTTACATAGAGTTCTGTATTAAGGCGCATGGCAATGATACGCAATCTCTTACTGTATATAGGGTTTTCCCCATAGAGGTCAACATCACAATTTGCCATAATCATTCAATACAAGTCACGGCTTGGTGGCTCGGGCCTCATTTCCAGCCCGTTACGGAATCCCAAGCAAGAAGTCCAGAGATCACGGAGAGCAAAAACTTATTTTGCAAATCTTGCAGCAAACCAGTCACGCGCAGAAGTCAACTTATGTTGGCCTTCCGGTCGACCCAAGTTCAACGCCGTGGTTTGCTTCAATTGCCTGGCGGTATCGATCTCTGTGTCGTCCGGCCCGAAGTATCGGCCACCTGTCAACTGTGTGAAGCCAAACATGAGTTTCACATCCTCTAGTTCCTGGATTCCATGCGTATCAAAGGCCTCCCACGTCGGTAATATAGGCTGAAACCGCGCCTTATGTCCTGTAACCGCGGTGAAATCCGCGACAACTTGTTCAAAACTGCGAATATCGCTGATACCGTGAACGAAGTGACCGTTCCATCGACTAGGATCCAGAAAAATACCATGGACGATATCTCCGAAGTCGTCCGAGATGCTTAACCATGGAACGTGTTCATCTCCTCCCCAATAAGGGACTTTGAAAGTAAGGTATCCTTCGTCATCAGTAAAATAGGGAAATCCTCCGAAGACTGGAGCTACCTCTTTGCCAAGGAAGTTCTCTAGAAACCATCCGGCGCCAATAGGGGTGAAAGTCTCGAAGGAGCCAAGGGACCTTGCGTATTGCTCAATCTTGTTCTTCACTATCCGGGAGTTAGTCGTATCCTTCCGGTCAGTAATCCTGCGATGAAGGAAGACTTACTGTCCATCGCCTTCATTCGCACTTGACCATTTGTCATCTCTGTGCAAGGAGGACCAGAACTGAATACGAGATGTTTCACGCCATCCTGAACAGCAGAATCAACGATTATCTTGCCCAAGTCGAACTCCGTTGGCCCACCCTCAGTGGCAAAGACCTTAATACGTCCGTTAACAGCTTGGGTTTGCCGAGGTATCATGAGAAATACACACCTTGTCATCAGAGTTGATATTGACAAATGCTCCCCAAGAGCCGCTAAATGCTGACAGCATCTCGTCGCCCCGAAAACCATCCCCGTGAACAATCTCGGCACCGAGAGCAGCAAGCTTTCGGCTGGCATCGGACTGGGGGTTTCGAGTAATTACACGTACTCTAAAGTCCGGACTTTGAAGCAGCGAATGAGCCACGGAACCACCTTGCTTGCCTGTACCCCCGAAGATGGTGATGAGCTTACGATCTGAGCTCATGATGAAACGGTGTCAGGGAGTCACTGTATTGAGTAGACAAAGCCTTGTAAGGAATAGGTAGATATGATGAATGAGAAAAGCAGACTGGGCTGGTTTCCGGAATGCGAACTTGCGCGTCTGGGCTTGCCTTTATAGATATCTGCCAACCCTATAATCCGCGTTACTAGCAGCAGGCAACACCATTACTCAGTGAACTGTGGCATCAATCGAGCTGCGTTAATCACATCCCGGGCCATCTCAGTTGGACCCCAGGGGGCAGCTCGTGTCATCATGTAATTAAGTTGACACCACACCCTTACCTGCATGAATCGTCGGCTTCCACATTTCATAGCCCTTCGCCATTGGCTTGCAGTGTTTCCCACACCACTTACAGACCATACATAACGCGATACAGCGGTTTCCCATGCAGATGTGAGACATCTTCAATCCAGGATAATGTCTTACTGGGCGGCCTGTTGGATTGGACTCCTTGCGCAAAGGGCCTTCTCTCGGTTCATCATGCCGTAATGGTGTACTGCTGACAATTTTGACAAGGCATTTAATGTAAAATGTGGCAAAGCACTGGACGGTGTATATAAACAGCTCCTTCCAGGGCTACTTGTTGGCTCAAAACAACTCCCTTCTCTGCCTGTCAATAGAACATTCTATTACCAACCTAAAACAGACGCCTTCGATGCCTTCTCAAGTTTTGACTCATGAGGAAGAGTATGACCTGGCTGTACGCCAGGGAAAGGGCCTTGCCCAGCAATTCTTCGATCACGTTTTGCTCAACCCTTCTACTGTTGCTGTTGTTGATGGTGATACCAGCTTGACGTATCAGGACCTACATGTGCGGGCTGCAGTGCTCGCCCGAGAGCTCCGACGGGGGAATCTGCATTTAGAAGAGCCTGTTGGTGTTGTCGTGCAACATGGAATATTAGATGCCGTTGCTCAAATGGCTATCCTGTATGCAGCGGGTACTTGTGTTCCCATGGATCCAACCCTGCCTGACCTGCAGATCAAGGGTCGACTGGACAGATTACAGGCAAGATATATCCTCGTCGACAGGGCCAACCAGCATCGAGATCTACCATTCCACCTCTTAGCTGTCGATGAATCAAGCGCGTCGTTCACCAAGAGCACGTATGTCTGGGACAATGAAGAGCCCATGCAGACTACCTTAGAGCATCGCACCCACATCATACATACGTCTGGTACTACCAGTGAACCCAAGGCCGTTCAAATTGCGGCACGCTCTATTCTGCAGGTAGTTTTCCATGCACCGTTCGAGCCTCTGTACCCCACCGATAGAGTGGCCCATGTCAATAACTCAAGCTTTGATGTCTCCCTTTTTGATCTCTGGGCACCACTGTTACGCGGAGCTTGCATTGTAGTTGTGAGCAAGATTACCCTGCTCGATCTAGAAGCCCTTGCAGCTTATATAGATCGACAGAGAATTACAGTGATGGCTACTACCACCGCCATTCTCAATTTAGCGGCGTCGGTATACCCTCGTGCATTCGAGAAGTTGCGGTTGTGTTTCATCGGAGGTGAAGCCGCCAACATTTCCGCTATCGAGACTGTTTTCCAAGCAGGGCCACCAACAGAGCTTATCAACGCGTATGGCCCGACTGAGTGCTGTATATTTTGCCTTGCACACAGAGTGACCATCGCCGATGTCCAAGCTGGAGGGGTCAGTATTGGAAAGCCAATCGGACGCACTATAGCTTATATTTGTGACGAAGCTGGTCAACCAGTGCCGGATGGGCACGAGGGCGAATTGCTTATCGGTGGGGCAGGTGTCTCACCAGGATACATCAACCTGCCCGACAAGAACAGAGCTTCCTTTGTGGCTATTGAAGGCAGCGACTGTGAGCGGTTCTACCGAACAGGGGATATTGTACGCCGACGGGTGACAAATGGCCAAATTGAGTACGTTGGGAGACGGGACCATCAAGTCAAAGTTCGCGGGTTTCGGATTGAGCTCGAAGCAGTCGAGTCTGCGATTATGAAAACTGGGCAATTTTCTGAGGCAGTAGCGTTGAAGGTTGAAGCTGGCTCCGAAGGGGCAGGTTCGATCCTGGTTGCCTTTGCAGTTGCCCTCTCTGGAACCAAGCCTCACGCAGTCCTGAGTGCCGTGGATATGCTGAAAGCTGTCCTGCCGGACTACATGGTCCCCAAAATTGAGCTCATCTCCAAAATGCCCGTCAATAGCCATGCCAAGGTTGACCGAAAATACCTCGAGCAGCTATTCCGCAACCGATGGGCCGAACAGCATATCGATATTGACAATCAAAACAGCATTCGCGGGAAACTTGCCAATCTGTGGGCCAGCATATTGGGTGTACCTGTTCCCCCTTCCAATGACAATGCCGATTTCTTCCTTCTTGGTGCTACGTCCATGCAAGCTTCCTTGCTTATCAGTCGAATTCAGAAGTCCTTTGAGGTTCAGGTGTCTCTTCTGACTCTCTATGATAATAGCAGCCTCATCGGACTGGCTGGCATAATTGAAGAACGCATACTGGGTACCCAGGAAAGCTTTTGCAAGGAGTCAGAAAGGCACATGTGGCTTGAAGATAGCAAGCTTGCAGACAACCTAGTTCCTCTGTCGGGCCCTCCGGTCGATTGGTGCCGTGACACCGAGGGACGGGTGTTCTTAACCGGGGCTACCGGTTATGTAGGCTCCTTCTTACTCGCCGATCTACTGCGTCAGCCGAACGTGCATCAAGTCGGATGTTTGGTACGGGCTGTGGACCCCGCAACTGGCCTTAGACGTTTGCAAAATGCTCTGGCAAAATATAATCTATGGGAGAACGGGTTTCGTTATAAGCTGTTGCCCCTCTGCGGTACCCTAGAAGACAGGTATCTTGGACTGGGGCCGGATAGGTTTGAGGAAATTGCCCACTGGGCTAGCGTTATTTTCCACCTCGGCGCCCGAGTTAACTACACCCAGCCTTATTCATTGCATCGTCCTGCGAATGTCCAGGGCACGGTTAATGTTCTGCGCCTGGCATGTGCTGGCCGCTCCAAGGCGTTGCACTATGTTTCCAGTATCTCTTGTTTCGGCCCAACGGGATTCATTACTGGCACACGGACCGTTATGGAAAATGAACCTCTTCCGCGACACTTAGAAGCCCTTCCTTATGACCACGGATATGCTCAAAGCCAGTGGGTGGTGGAGAACATGTTGCAACGTCTGATGGATAACGGGTTCCCCATCGTGGTATATCGACCCGGCTTTATTACAGGACATAGCCAGACGGGTGCTTGTAATCCCGATGACTTTCTCAGCCGGTTGATCATTGCATGCGAAGAGATGGGATCCTATCCTCTTCTTCCGAACCAAAGGAAAGAATTCGTACCCGTGGACTATGTCAACGCTGTTATCCTGCATATCGCCTCGTCAACCACTACCGCTATAGGCCGGGTCTACCATATTGTGCCTCCAAACCGAGACCTGTCATTGGATATGAATGACTCCATGGAGTTAGTTGGCTCCTTGGCCGAGGGAGGCGGTTCTTCCGTGCGCGGTGTAAGCTACCAGCAGTGGGTCCAGGAGTTGGACAGACAGTCCCCGGAACGGCTTCGGCCATTACAACCCATGTTGACGGAAAAGCTATACCAGGGACTCACTCGGTGGGAACTGTACGAGAACATGCCCGTGTATGACACTACCAACACCAGACAAGTGCTCGAGAGCTACCCCGGCGGTCTCAAGTTTCCCGTGTTAGATTCTGACTTGATGCAAAAATATATCCGTTACCTGCAAAATCAGCCAATGTGTCCGAAAGAGGAAAATTAAATTGAATGGCACGGACAGTTAAGACACATGCTAACCTTCATCCACAACACTATTGCTTTCGTTGCCGAAGATTGTATAGATGCTGATCTCGGGGGTATGCTTGCAACGGGCCGATTATATTTGGGTTTGGGGGGG